TAAATTTGTTCCTTTCTCTCCTTTATCCAAACGTGAAATAATTATCTGCTTATCTTTAATCGATAGAACGGCTCGCTTTCGCTTCGTAGACATGTTTTTAATTTGAGTTTACGATCGATCGCTCGTGTGTTTACATAACCCACGCGAAAGGAACTAATCAAGGATGAAATTCCCTTGGTAACAAAACAGTTGAGCCAATCAGATATCAGCTCAATGCATCAGAATATTTCTTTGTCTCGTCGCACTTGCGAATTTTGAAAAGCGCGCAGGATAATACGCTGTTTCAACAGTCTTTTGAAAGGATTATTGGGCTTTTTGCGACTTTCAGTTTTCAAGATCACAACTAATTAATATTCATGAAAAAATTGTGACCAGAGAAAAAAGTCCGGATAATCGAATAGTCCGGATAATCGAGGTCCGGATAATCGAGGTTCGACTGTACTTCAAAAATTGGTGATAACCTTGATTACCCTTGTTTGTAAGCTTTCTCAAGATACGTATTGTAATAGACTGTGAGAGATGGTGCAATGCTGCATTTGTTTGTATAAGATTGTTGGTAAAAATTCAGGGTTGGCACAGGTCTGGAAATAGTCAGGGGAAAAAATTCTTCAAGGTCGGGGAAAAGTCAGGGTATTTTATTTTGAGTCAGGGAAAATTGAAATGATTTAACACGGCTGATTCAATACCATCAAGGTTACTGATTTAATACCATTAAGGCTGGAAGAAACACTTGGGGTCTCTGTTAAAGTGTACCATCATAAACAATGTCTTTCCTTATGAAGAAGGAAAATTTGTTTAAAACCTATCAGTCTCAATGAATTGGCAGACTGGGTGGCTGTAAGGGGAGGCGAAAAGCCTGAAAAGTCAGGAAATTTTGAAAAGTGATCTCTATGGCAACCATGCATCCCATGATGTGCAGAATGTGTTTACACTAACAAAAGGAGACACCGTCAGCAGTTGTTTTAAATTTACTAGCTGAACATTTTATTATAGCTGTTGTCAGGAGGTTGCGGTGTCAAACGATTTTGCCAGTATGATCATACCAGTGTCTGTTTTGACCACAGCCCCTCAATACATTAAGTCTGTGATAAACATCTGTTCTCCCTCACAAGGTCAATACATTGTCAAACAAAAGGGTAAGGAGAATATTGAAATTCATCAACTAGCGTATATGGTCTTGATGCATTGCCAAATTCTCAAAAGTGACATTAAAGGAAATGTAAAGAGAAATTTAAGGAGAATTACTAACTAAAGTTAATAAGTTTGGGACTGAATGAGTTAATAAAAAAAAAAGCAAACATAACCTGTGACGGAAATCTTTAGCAAATATTTACACCTTCTTTACAGATTCCACCTCTACCAACACATTACAGTAGTGATCTGCGTTCAATAGTGCAAAGCATGTTGGAGCTGGAACCTGAGAAAAGACCAAGTGCTTCACGCCTTCTGCGTCATAACTACATCAAAAAACAGATTGCTTTGTTTCTTGAGGGCACGAAAAACAGGTGAGCTTGCCTTGCTTTAACTCCTGTAGACCTGCTCTAGATTTCTCTTCTGTGTTGGTGAAATTTAAAAGTTTAAAATGCCTAAGGAAAAAATATATTTATTTTGCACCCAGTTAATCCATTTTACTTAAGCTAGTGGTACAGATAACTTGATGTTGTGATGAATAGTAACTTATCATAAGCATGTTTAAAATTGTAAACTGAAGCTTACCTATTATTTTAAAGAATGCTGAACTTTAGGCCCTAGAGCATTTAGCTCCTTCCTTTTCACGACTAGATTAATATTTCTTGCCAAAGAGCAGGTACTTTTATGTATTTCTTGCGTAGGATAAAGGTCTCCCAGATTGTAGCTTGGTTCTGTATGTTTTTATTTCAGACAAATTTTATCCAGCTTTTAATTAAAATACTTTTCTACCTGTTATTTATGCCTTTGTACCTGTAGTATTTTTCCACTTGTGAAAATTAATTGAGTACTATGTAGATATGTTTTTGTCTGTGATGCATGATACACACTTTATTGATACTCCCAAATTGTTCTCAAACTCTTCAGGCAAAAACAGAAAACCTCGTCAAAAGGAGAGAGAATTTCAAGTGCTAAGTTTAAGTCTTCAGATTCACGAACATCCAAGTCCGATTCAGGATATTCCGGTTCAGGACTAGAGGCTTCTATTGCTACAATTTCTGCTGTGGATTGTGTTATAGAGGACGAAAAACCTGCTAAGGAATCACCCAAGCCTTCGTCACGAAATGACCAGGGAAGATCGTCTGTGGATTCAACAAGTTCCTCAAGTGGATCATCCGAAAAAGGAAAAACTGAGGTGAACGTTAAGAAAATTGAAGAGAAAAATGTAGTGGACTTGAAACAAAAAGAAGCAATTAAGAAACAAATGGCTAAAAGGAAAAAGTCAGCTGGCAGTGAAAAGACTAGTAATAGACAGGCAGCAAAGCAGAGAGGTGTAGACGAAGATATTTCGGTCAGGCGGTCAGCTGAAGATGTTAAAAAGGCTGCAGCTGGAGATGAGAAGAGACCTTTGCCTAGTGCCGTCAAGTCAAAGACACCCAAGGCAGAGGTACTGTATGGATCTACCTTTTGTGTAAAATAAGAAAGAAAGTCTCAATGCTGTTCGAGGGGACTCCTTAAGGATGTCACTAGTTCGGGGGGGGGGGGTACAAACCAATGGTGTTTATTTATTTGAGTGTTTATAACTGTTATACTGGCGACTTTCAGAGGTTTTGGGCAAGTTGTATTTTTTATTGGCTAGTGTGAATACTGTTAAAAAATGAATTCTTAGTCACGATTTTTTTTAAATAATTAATCCGCATTTCAGTTTTGCGCTCCCTTTCTTTCGCAAGTACTAATTTTCCCGATTTTTCCCAGAACGCGACAATCTCGAAGTTTATTACGTACCAAAATTAGTAAAAATAAGGTAACTGAGATAATTATATTAATTGACTTTGGTACACTGAAGGACATCTATGAAATATGCAGAGGTATAATTTACAAATTAACATTTCTCTGCTCTTCTTTTTTAACATCAGTCTCATCAACTTCAGCGACCCTTACCACAGCCTCCCAAGGGAGGGGTCCCAGGGATAGATTTGCCCGCCTCTAGAAGCCCCAGAGCGAGGCGGAGATACAAAGTCACGTCCAGCTCACACGCGGCCAGATCACATTATGCCGAGGAGGAGGAAGAGGAGGAGGAGGAAATTAGTGCTGCGGACTCTGAAGCAAGGTATGGCAAGTTACTGGAGCACAGTGCCGAGCACAGTGGGACTCACCTTACGGAAAAAAAAAAAACGTTTTTCCCGAAATGAACAAAAAGGGGAAGAAACCTTGTTCTGTTACAGCACATCGCTAATGCGACCAGCAGTCAGTTTCAAGTTCTCCTTATGCGACTCGTTACGCCCAAGGAAGCAGAAGTTGAAAGTACGGTTACTAGAAATACCTGATGAGTAGGCGAAATGTGTTGGTGGGGAATGAGGGAAATAAAGCTCATTGTTATTGGTATTTTAAGGGGAATTTGAATGTTGATCATTCTTAAGAATGTAACGATTAACATAACAATGACGCAAGGCTCATTACTAAGTAGAAAGCTTAACGGGATAACAATATGATAGAGTCCAAACTGAAAGCCAAGAATTGCAACCGTTAACCGTTTCGACCTGGTTGGGTCTACGTACACCGGCAGCATTTTCGTTTGCGGTCTCTTGCATCATTGTATTTAACGATTAACTTAAATTCTCTTGTTTGCTTTTCCTCTAGTTGCAAGTCTGTCAGTGACAACACGCCTGTGGTGAGTATGACATCGCTGAAAATAGCGCACGTTCTTCTTAGATAGCTAACCTACGTGCCCGCAGACATTCCATGTTTTCTTCGAGTAATGAACTTTTTCGTTGTGGTAATTTGATTTACAGAGTGGCTTATCTGCGCGAGAGAGACGGAGGCTCAAACAACGACAGAAAGGCGACAAAAATGCCGCACCCACTCCTCCCTCAGTGCCTGTACTCCCCTCCCCTAGTGAGGTGATTGCTGCCAAAGTCAAGAGATCACAGGAGAGCTACCAAGGAGGTACGACATTCGTCATTTCATTGAGAGAGTTTATATGCAGTTTTCCTATGTTGTTTGTTGTTTTTATTTTTGCTTTTCTAGCTACCCCCAGGCAGGGGTCAGCGGTCCGTGATCCTAGACGTCAGTTAGGCCCCGAGGGTTTTGACACCCCGGATGGTCCCACGCCCATTGCTCGGCAAGAATCAAGTGCTTCTATCGCGGTAGGTTCTCGTGATCGTAGGCTATCAAATGAAAATGAGAGATAGTGAGAATTGGACGATGGTCAAAAGCGCACCGATCAAACGAGCTTAGAGTACGTTAGAGCTGACATTATCTGCTTGTCAAACAAGACAAAAATAAATCACTCTTCGACTGTCACGAAATAGGAACAGGTTCCAATTCTGTCGACGAAAGTAGGAGTTTGAATACAGCTCAGGAGCAATGGAGGCCTTGTTTGATGTAGCTTCTGGATGTGAAAAGGGCCGGCATAACAGCTTATGCAATGGCAGTATAGTGTCTCCACGAACAACATGTCGAAACATGTGCCGAACAGCAATATCTGTCTTGTGCTTAAATGCATAGCGGCATTATTTCAAGTTTCCAGGTTAATGTTCACGTTTTCTTTCACTGTACAAAAGGAAAGAAAAAGATTGACATAGAAAGATATTTGTGAGGCGTTAAACCCTTTTCTCCCTGTTTACAGGACTCTGTTGAACATGATAGCGACACAGACTCGGAATTAGAGGAAATCAGTTTAGATGAACCTTCAGCGCATGCTCCTAGGTAGGTGACAGCAATTACAACTAAGTAAAGAACTTCCGGTGAGCACGCCCAGGCCTGTCGTAATGACGGAGCAATTGCTACGGGAAAACTGTAAATTGAAACAAGATGGCTCAAACGTTAAACTGGATAATTATTGGAAATCGCGCACACCTAAAAGTCCTTTAAATTCGGCTGTTTAAGGTGATTCTTCAGAATTGCATTGCGCATCCCTACTGCGCACGATTTTCGCGTCATTAGCGCGCGCCCACAAGCACGTGCATATGCAAAATGGTGGCTTTTGCTAAACGGCTTGCCTTGCGAGAGACAAATCATCGTTTTCTCTCGGAAACGAGTACGGGGACCCAACGATTTTTTTATTTAGATCGAATGCAGCGATCACCTTCTTTCTATACAGTGAGTATAGACCAATTTCTGTTGCAGAGTAAAAAATTATCACGGAAAATGAGTGCATAGCTAGCACTCGTAAAAGATAATTTGTGGCACCAGAACACTGCGAGCTTGGGACATATTGTATCCCTGTCGACTAAAGATGAGTGCCCTAATCATGAAACGCACATCAAATTGCTCCTTAATATTTATGCAATACATCCATTGTTGTATTTCTCGCTTAACTTTCTCTCTGTTTTTCTGCTCTCTTAAAGCGCAAGGTGAATGGTTCAAATATAAACGTTTCTGAAAGCAGATAATTTCAGGAATTATTGGGTTTATTGAAGGTCCTCTTGCTCCTAAACGAATATGGGGACCCCCGTTTTTTATTTAAAATTTTAAGTTCTCTTGATATAAGCAGCCAACCGGTAAAGTTTGAAAGAAAGTCTATTGTGAGTTCTATTTCGATGGAATTACCTTAAGTGAATGTTAACGAGAATAAAAAGGTTTCTGGAAGTAAAATCTGATTCAGAAATCAAAATCCCTCGCTATGCATGTGGACAATGGACAGCAGAATGTTTGTATTGGGTCTCTATTGGAGTAGGAATTAAGAACTCTATATTTCAACCTAAAACCTGGAAACGTAAATGTTGCAAGACAGCAGAAGAACTATTTGTAACTAGGACGGATTGTTAAAGGAAACCAAAAACAGTGTTACGTAACAGTTTTGGATACTGCGGCGACGTGTTCAACACGAAAAAAAAATGTTCTCGTTTACAGGCAGCAGGATAATCTTTGTTATATAGGTCACTATCTTGGGAATTACATGAGTTTTACTTTCTTACAGTGAACGGCCACAGAAATGGAAAGTTAATTGGCCAATCAGATTCCTTTATTATTGTAGAAACCCTCGCAGACAAAGTGACGTCACTTCTCTTATCACAGCACTGGACACCACGTTGAAAATGACAAATGTCAGCGTTGATAGGGAATCCCCGGATGTGGAGACTCCGCCAGAAAAATACGAAGAGATGGAACCACTTGACGTGCCTTATGGTGAGGATAGGACTTGCTCTTATCTTGTTCCTCAACGACAGCAACACCTATTTTCTCATTACAAATATCGTGACAGTTATGGTATATTTAAATTCTGGACAGGTTGTTCAAATGAGGTAACTGTTGCGATCATAGTGAAACTGAAGGCTTGACTCTCCAGACTCTCTGTAGTGAAGACTCGAGTTTTAAAAGTTAATCAAGACAGATATATAACACTCTTATATCATATCTTACTTAGTACGGTTGTTATTACAAAATATAAGAACAAAGGGGAAAGAGACAAAAAGACGGGACGATGGTGAAAGCACAAATAGGATAAGAGAAACTTATGTTCAAAAGTTACATTAGACTCAACTGTTTACAATTATTCACGAGCCCTAAACCCCCCCCCNTCCCCTTTTTTTTTCTTTTTCTCAGGTGGATCACCTACAACATCTGGAAGATTACGAGACAGAATAGATCGATTGAGAAGGTAAGGGTTCTGTCTTTGTATGCACACAACTGAGAGAGTTACATATTTTACTGCGGTAAACGTTTATTCAATAAATGTATTGTATTTAGCAATTGATCAAGAGAAGATCACGGTATACCTTGACCTTCTCTAGCAATTAATTCATTCGTTAGTGTGCATCATGGAATTGTTATGATGCGCGAGGTTCGTGACAAGTCACATAACGGCTTTGCGAAGTAGACTATATTTCTCTGAAGTCAACCGACCAGAATAGTGGACCTGTCACAC